ACTTTACTATATTTGTCTTTATTTAAATGTATTTGGGTAGGCCTACATATTCCCATTCTAAATTAACTAATACGGTAGCTTAATTTACATTTTGAACCATTTGTACCATTATGATAACATTGTGCCACCAGTAAATGTAGTAACACCAATGAATGTAACTCCAATGAGACATTTTATGTACATTTGGATTTTTTGAAATGGAGGCCACAAATTCTCAAATCTAAAGTACTCATTCCTTTAAAAATAGTTTAATAAAGTGATATGATTAATCATTTTGCTTCATTTAAATTGACTAACACCAAGTGACACTTTGGATTTAGACACACCAAATTATCAATGGAATCCTCAAATGTATAACATACTAAAAGGGGGTGATTAGCTAAGATTTTTATTTAATAGGCCCCTCCCCCGATAACCGTTTGCCACTGGAGAGAATGCTCAAGGTCCTTGTATGAAAAATGTATGCACTCACTAACTGTAAGTCGCTCTGGATAAGAGCGTCTGCTAAATGACTAAAATGTCAAATGTAAAATGTATATCTTTGTAAACAGCGATTTTCAAGGCAGTAACACAATGACATCAAACTGAGGAACACATTATAGGTCTACTAGTTTAAAAAAAAGTATTTTTATAGCCTTCTTTGTTTTTATTGATCTGTATAATATATTAAATCATTTTGTTCACTATCTAGCATTCAAAATAATAGATAGATATCTCAAAATCCCCAAAACATGTCACTACACCTCTACACATCACCAGTGGGACAGGCCAATTTGCTAGCCCTCAGTAGTTTCTACAATGCATACAAATACATGCTTTGCAGTAAAAAGGACTTCTTATTAAATAACAGTTAAATAAAACGGAACATGTATTATTTGTCACGTTTTTGTGATTTTAAAGTGTTTTTACATGGTGCCAAAGTCAAGGGACAGCATTTACCACCGCAATTCAAGAATGACCCAATAGGAATAGCCCATGATGCTATAGGCTTCAAGCCCGACCACACAATAGTCATGCTATCGATTTAGGCTAAACACATACGACTTATTAATACAGCAACTTATTTCCACTTAATGTTTTACTTTCTTTTTGTCAAGATAGTTCTTTCTCTTCTAAACAACAGGCTGCACTTGGATTTAGACTATCCATTGTAATTATGGTGTGAGGTAGCAATACATTGCTTAGTTTCCTCAGACACAGTCGTAAAGCATGTACTCTCCTAACAGTGATGTTTACGCAGAGAATGGCAAATATTTACAACACCTCTTTCTTCCAGGAAACTCGAAAGGCCTGTGTGGCTATTACGTTAAAGGCTCTAGCAGTATTTTTGAACATTTTGTAATCGTACTCGCAACATGGTAGACATATTCGGCAGGGGCTTTGGTTATTCAAAAACATTTGTGACGAAAACCCTTCTTATTTAGAGAAATGGCGCACCAGCCATCCAACTCCAGGGTCCTACTGCGGGTGGGATATCATAGGCTAACTGTGACTTGAACTTAAATCCAAGAAGAATAAACACATGGTAAACCTTATCCCCTGATTGATGTCTTTAGACCGCCGTAAGACATGACTAGGATAGTTTTAGGCCTTCGAAGGAGGATTACGCACGACTTTATTGCTCCTTGCAAGCTTGTGTCCAGATTTTAAAGCGGAAGTGTTGTGGGCATGTCCTTTATGTAATACCCCAGGCAACGTTTTGGCATCTCCTTTTGTGATTGCACACCACTGGTATATCCCTGTTCCTGTGATTGAGCCTTTCAGTACAGGCCTAACTTGTCCAATTCTCAGAATCCTTATGCATTACATTTACATTTTAGTCATTTAGCAGACGCTCTTATCCAGAGCGACTTACAGTTAGTGAGTGCATACCTTTTCATATGGGCCCCCCGTGGGAAACGAACCCATAACCCTGGCGTTGCAAGCGCCATGCTCTACCAACTGAGCTACAGCTACATTAGAGCGCAGAAACATGTTCTCTTTGCTGGAGAACATCTGACAAGGTTATGGATAATTAGCCTATACAGGAAGGCTATTATGTAGCCTACTTTGGTTGTTGTCTTGCTGCAGACGATCATGCATTCCACAAAGGAACTAATAATTTGTTGCGTGTTAAGGCTTCGTTTACAGTAAATGTTGTTATTGCCTTTGGAGAATCAGTGCCATTTAGAACCCATTCTCAAAATTACTAAACAGTAGGCCTACAACATCAGTACAGTTTCCGCAACCTGTGAATACGAATAGTTTATTATTACGTTTCCGAATGGTTTAATTTCTGGAATGTAGGCTGTGAAGTCCCCCATTCAACTGTATTCTAACAGTTCTTGAGGCGCGTTTCTCCCATAAATGTGAAGCGCCTTGAGCAAAAACGTTCACCATTTTCTATTACAATATTAGGCCCTAAGCCCAAATGTGTGGGAAACGACGAAACACTGCGCAATATAGCCAGACTAACTTATGGTAGCTAACATTTTTCCAACATCAGCTATTTTCTCAAATGATTTTAACTTATTTTACCCGTCCCTTGTGGTGTGACGTGGAATTCTCCATTTGTGTTTTCATAATTCAAAACGACAGTCAGCCTATGTCTGTATGGTTAGAACTTGTGTGGGTAGAACTTCTTAGAGTGTATACTAATTTTAAACTCATTTTCCGTGTTACTTTAATGCGTTCTATAGAACAAAGGGATTTCGCTTTTTCTTATAGCCATTCAGCGTTTTATGGTTAGATGCGTAGAGGATTTTAGTGGTCAAACTCAAGTGCTGTGTCTGGGCAGCTGTCTGCTTTCTTTGTACTTGGACGCAAACATCGTGTACATCAACTTTTATCTGCTGAAAGGGGACTGTAAACAAACAGATTCCATTGCCATATACATCTCTACAAAATACATACATCTACTCATTATAGTATTATTTTTTGATGGTTTACATGGAAAATCAGATGAAGAGTGGGGTTTCTTCCTAAAATGTGCTTTTAGGCGACATAGTGGGCCATCAAGTTTACATACTTAGCATACAAAATTCCATAATCCTAATACCATGATAATCTTCTACGTTTAAACTATTGAAAACAATATAGTTTGTGAGGTGCAATTATATAATTTGCATACAGGTTACCCTTCAGAAAACATATTTTGGAACATAGGAAGCTATTGATAGTCTAATGATATTTATCAATACAATGATCACACTTTGTATAGATGATTGGTAATTATGGTTCAAGTGATTCTGTATACGACAGTACAAGTTTACCACATAAGAGAAAGAGCACACAAGGGTATTTCAAAAATATATATATATATCAATTTATTACAGGATTGAAATATCATTCCTCTAATTGATCACATGGCCTATTCTACTTTAGAGCTTTGTGATGGGGATTTCAGCTGTGAGATATATTTTTCAAATTAAATGACGTTTACATTCCTTGAATGAAGGTGATAACTAATCTAGCCTATCCTGCCGGGGAGCACTTAGGCATATTAAAACAAATCAATAATGGTAGCCTAGATGGGGTTTTTTCTTTTCGAAAAGCAATGTGTATTTAATCGGGCAACTACTCCTAAAGTTACACTGTAGTCCTAAAGTTAGAAATATAGTACAGGATTTATTATTGCTCTACAGCTGTCAGTGAAAGTATTCTATAACATATCGATTCATTTGTTGCCCAATGAGACAGTAGAGACTAAGCAGAAATAGCCCCCCTTGTACTTCAAAACAAAATAAATGGCCTCCCGGAGACTATTTGGACGCATTAGCTTTAATATAGCCACTCTCGTGTAGACTATCTCGATTCAAAATTAAGATGACTTGATATGTTATAGTTTGCGGTTGGTGGATTAGAGTTGTTTTGACCGCCTTCCTCGTCCAAGGTTAAACTTAGCTTGTTTTCTTCTCTCCTCCATGTTCAGCCTGGAAACTTGGTCTTGAGTTTCTCGGGTATTATCTATACCAAAGATATGTAGGCTTCCATTAAGGCCATGCCTTGATCAAATAAAATCCGGGATAAAACTTAAATAGAAAAATGTCCCTGAAACACGGGAATGTAGCCAAATAGCCTATGTATTCAAATATGCTTATTTTGAATAGTTACTTTTTGTGGGTTTTTTCATTATAGGGAAATGTTAGTCTGTTGGTGGCTGTTTCTAAATGTAAATATAGGCTATTACAGTGGTTTAGATGAAAAATGCCCACGTTTCAAAATTGTAATATCTCAAGCAAGACCACACCTATATCAATCAAAAACACTCACTCACAATCATTGCCTTGGTGAGCAGTTTCAGAGAGGTTAGTCATTGATTCACGACGGACATTTAGACTACCTACAAATAGCATAAAGCCTGCTAGGCTATATGAGTGTGAAAACACACTTTTCAAAACAGCAGCGCTTCGAGTGTGGTCTTCAAATCTTGGTCTCATTATAAAGCATGGATTTGTCTTAACCTCGCAGTGATCTCGGTACACTTTGTCAGTAAGGCTGGTAGTGGTTAGTCATATATTACAATGTATGAGAGAAAAGTGTCTATATTCCGCTGTATACCAGTATAGGCTATTGTACAATATGCTAATGTTTCATGTAGTAGCTATACTATAGTGGTAGTTATAACAATACTAATAATCATAATCATAGTAGGCCTAATAGTGAAGTCTTACCTGTAGAATTCAAAATCAAGTTTAGTCTGCTATATCCTATACATAAATAGCCCCCTAATGCTTTTCTTTATAATTGCCATAACCTAAGTCAACAAACAGGAATCTGTTACTGGTTTTCTTAGTGCTCCTGCGGTGTTTTGAAAATTAATAGTTGAACCTCCTAGATCTTACCTAAGTGAACCACTCCTACACATCCAAGTGTTCCACATTGATATATGACAATATCTACTTTCGATCACGTGTCTCCGGGCGACTTAGACGGATCGCGCGTCATCTCGCCTTCCTAAATTTACCCCTTCTACAGCTCGAATCCAAAACATCTATCTATCGTACGGAGTACGGGGAAAGATGTTTAACTCGGTGAATCTGGGAAACTTCTGCTCCCAGACGCGCAAAGACCGGACATCCGAGTTTGGGGAAAGAACGGGCTGCGCCTCTAACATCTACCTCCCCAGCTGCACCTACTACGTCCCCGAATTTTCTGCCGTCTCTTCGTTTCTTCCACAGGCCTCGTCGCGGCAGATAACCTACCCATATTCCACAAATCTGTCTCAAGTGCAGCCGGTACGGGAAGTTTCCTATGGATTGGACCCTTCTAGTAAATGGCACCATAGAAGCAATTATGCATCATTATACTCTGGAGAGGAACTGGTGCACAGGGACTGTCTTCCGCCATCCACCATGACAGAAATGCTTATGAAAACGAACGAGAATGTGTACAGCCACCATAACCACCATCCCAGCTCCAACCATCCCTCCACAGGGTTCTACCACGGAGTGGGGAAAAACAGCGTCCTCCCTCAAGGTTTCGACCGCTTTTTTGAGACTGCATACTGCGGCACGGACAATCAGTCCGCAGATACTTGTTTACAAAAGAGCGAGGTTTAGAAAGCTGGAAACAAAGTCCCAGCAGCCAGCGGCTCTACCGGGAGTCCCAGACCAAGACAAGGACACAGAGGATGAGGAAGAACATACAAATTCGGGCTCGTGTACTTCTTCAGCCACCAAGGACCGCAGCGCCAGCAAGAACAGCCACTCGAGTAGGTACAGAAGCTGTAAATGGGGAAAGGGACTAGCCCGGTGTTTTGTCGGTCAGATTTTATGTGGAGTTTTATAAGCATTCAAAGGATTTTATTATAACCTACAAAGCTCTTTCTTCCAATGAGAATAATTTTTACGATGGGAAAGCGCTTTGAAAAAAAAGGATGTTATACACAGACGCTTCCATCGTGGAGTCTGTGAAATTTTAAGAGCGCGCTATTGTGACAAATGCTAACTTTGATCATGAACTTGCGTTGGGCATTTTAAGGGATTTTCGCGTTGGGCTGTCGTGAGTAAAAACCAATTGGGCAAAACATTGCTTTTGGCATCCTGTGAATTCTATTTTAGCAGCTTGCACGCAAACTATAACTCTAAAGGACATGCTGTGAGATTGTTAGCCTTGTACACTTAGAGGCAGGCTTCATAAGTATCCATCTATCTCTATGTATCTGGGCAAATGTCGAGGATAGCAATAGCATTGTGTTATGGTGGTTTCCTTGCAACGAAAGAGAGAAGGATACAAAATACAAATGTAATCAGTCGTAGAGACTCCAGTGTGAGTTTGTGTCCTGGATTGAAGCTTTGTACTGCAGTATTAAACCAAACACATTCTGTCCAAGTGAGACACCTTTCCATTCGGTTAGCCCTGAGATATTTATGCCTGAATCTGCAGTGATTGACACACACACACACACACACACACAATCTCTAACTCAAACACACAGGCCCACTCTTTGTGTAGCCTAATGTAGCCCAATCAGGGCATAGCTGCAGATATGTTTTGTGTCGTTGTACTTTATCTTTTTCATGAGGTTTTGACCACCACTGTGACGTAGTGTGGCTCAGATCCGAAAGCCATTTTAGCTTTACGAGAGGATTCACATCAAATATAAACATATGCATTTCAAACAGCCATGAAGGAGTGTGGACATTGATAGTTAAGTTCCATGGGAATGTAACGCAAACTGCAGCCGTATACATCTTGTTATTGTATATTTGTAAGAGATAAACACATACTTAAAGGCTGTAACTTGATATTCTTTGCTCTCCAAGCGCTTGTGATAATTTAACAGTCTTTATGACTGATGTGTCTGATGTGTTACGTGCAGTGTTGGATGTTGACAGAATTGGTATGATCAAATTGATGCTTCTCGAAATTCCTGAATAGTGTATTCACATAGAGAGGCTATATACTTTATGTTGATGTGAATATGTGTGGGTGGCTACTTTAACTTCATGTGAATATCTGTACGTAAATGGCAAACAATCCCATGGAACTTTCACTGATCATGTCCTTTCTGATTGATTGCCCCAGGTACTCCTCGCACAAGGAAGAAGAGGTGTCCATACTCCAAATGTCAGATCCGAGAATTGGAGCGGGAGTTCTTCTTTAACGTTTACATCAACAAAGAGAAACGGATGCAGCTTTCCCGGATGCTGAACCTCACTGACCGACAGGTTAAAATCTGGTTTCAGAATCGAAGAATGAAAGAAAAGAAATTAAGCAGAGATCGTTTGCAATACTTTTCTGGAAACCCCCTATTGTGAGCATGTGGAGTGTAAAAGCATAATGATTATAGTCAAAGATCAATGACACTCTTTTCTCAGTGAATTCTTATCACCAGTAATAAACACATTTCAAGTTAATTCAAAAAAAACAGATCAGCAGCAATGTTGAGCAACTAAATGTTAAGATGAGGTTATTTCTATTTCTAACATTTGGGGTTGCTGTATGTATGCTAATAAGGCGATATTTTCCTGTAGCCTTCATTCGCAGGATAATTTCTATTCATATATACAGGTGATTATATAGAATAATCATTTCTATGCTGTTGTCGAGTTCACATGGATTTCCGTGTATTTCCCACGAATCTTAATTGTGTTTATTCAATTGTGCATTTCACAATTATTATTAGTTGAATAGTATTAAATGTTACAACACAATTCGGAATCCATGATAGGCCTATATTGGACATTTAAACGTTTCCTTTTCCTCTGGTTGGTGTATTTGTAGCCTACCATAAAACCACGATTCTCTTTTCGACCAGAATATTCAACACAAAATAATACATTTACAGGTGTCAATTTTGCCATGGAGAACTGTGACGTGTACAATCTGTAATAATGTTTTCCTTGTACCGACTATGCAACTATGTGCATTCGTGACTGTAAATATGATTTCGTTTTCAATTTCCCTCCCCCTTTCCCTGCTGCTATTTTCTTTACACCGCCCAAGCTGTGTACTTTAAAAACTTTAATGTTAACACTCCTTTAAATTATTTGCTTTATCCTTGGCGTATCTTTATGAAAGAGGAGGAAACTATGGAGTTGTGCCTGTGTATCATACCTATTAAAAGATACCTATTAAATAAACAGACGTATAGACAAAAGTAACAGACTGGTGGATTTTTGTCATAGATTTTATTATTGACCATGGTTATGCCTATGTGATGGTCGTTTTCAAGCCGATTGATTGAGAGTGGTAGGCAATGACTCAAAAAGTATTGGCAAAATAATCTGACTGCATTTTTGTCTTAGGTTTTCTTTTCGACAATGGTTCGGTCTATCTGGTGGTAATTTTCAAGGGATTTGAGTGGGGTTGGTAGCCTAAATGGTTATTTTGTGCTACAGTTTTGATAAAACCAAGTTCGAAGCATGTGGAGAGATTGCGAGTCGTGCATTATTAGTTGGGTATTTATGGATAGTAATTGCATCTAATGCCAACTTAGTTTTAAGCCACACAATTTTAATGTAGGAATAGGCCTTCCTTTTTACGCAAACACATTTGCAGACGAAAACATTGTTGAGTGAGTGTGTGTGTGTGGGCTGTTGAGCGGTACATATATATAATGCTTGCATGCTTAGTGGATACAGCTCTAGGAGTGCATATTTGAGCTTTTGCAAGCACACACAGAAGTACACAGAAACAACAACACAAACTAGGCTACACCTCAGAATCACAGAGAAAGAAAGAGGAACGTGATCCTCCTTTAGTGCCCACTAAATGGAATCGCCACTCTTGCAGTCCAGACAGTGCCATAAAGACAGAGGCACTAAATGGCGATTTTTTTTTCTTTTAATTGCACCGTCTGTTCAGATGGAATGGCGTTCACTTCCGCAGTAAACAAGTAAGACTGGCTGTCCAAACAAAAAACTTGCCAACTAGACTGTTCAACGTGAACTCGGGCCCGTGCTGTGCACAACGTCAATCCCCCTCCAACTGCACTACACACACACACACACACACACACACACACACACACACACACACACACACACACACACACACAAACACACACAAACACACACAGACACAGACACAGACACACACACACACACACACACACACACACACACACACACACACACACAAACACACACAGACACAGACACACACACACACACACACACACAGACACACACACACACACACACATCCTTTAGCCTTTCAGCCTTCACCACTACCTCATACTTCAGACATTTCTGATAAAAGGGACCCCTGAAATTAGATCTTGGAACTCTAGGTCAGTCAAGTTTTTTATTTTTATTTTATTTATTTAACCTTTATTTAACCAGGTAAGCCAGTTGAGAACAAGTTCTCATTTACAACTGCGACCTGGCCAAGATAAAGCAAAGCAGTGCGATAAAAACAACAACAACACAGAGTTACATATGGGATAAACAAAACGTACAGTCAAAAACACAATAGAAAATCTATATACAGTGTGTGCAAATGTAGTAAGTTATCCATTGAAATTACCCAAACGATGTCTTTACTAATTGTTGTCTTAATTGGCCAAGTGGTAGGTGTGTGTGCACATCTATAAATATAGAGGACATTACTGGTGTGTGACTGTTGGACAGATTTTACCGAGTGTGTGTGTGTGTGTGTGTGTGTGTGTGGGTAGGCCTACATGCGTGCGCCAGCCTGCACACGGAGCATATGTGCATGGAAGATTGCACGTGTGTGTATTAACTACAATTTATAATTGAAAGTAGTCTTTGAACTTCAATAACGTCAAGGCCTTCACCTTTAACCCGCTGCAATAAAGTGGAATCAAGGAGCCCCTTTAGCCCGGAAATGTGTGCAAGAGGGGAATCGACCAATGGGAGTGAGTGGGAACAGAAAAAGGAATGTGTAGAGAGTCCAACTTTGACCCCTCTCATTAAACTACAGCAGGTAACTTTGCCAGCTTTAGTACGCCCAGTAAATACACTTTATTATCCCTGTAAAATGTATACGTTTTCACGCATGATAAGTTTTATAACATGTTGGCATGAGCTTTAACATGTACTTATATTTTCACCGTTTCTTGTGGAAATGAATGTAGATCATGCATTTGGGTTATATTCTTCTTTAAGACGGATGCAGAATTATATTATGTTATGTTATTTTCTATTCGATTCTCTCTCTATTTGTGTGTGCTTGTTTGTTCTCTGCTACTCACTACACTCCCTTTAGACTGAAGCTGATGGCGGAAGAGGGGGGTGTTATTTGTGGCGGGGAGGAGGAGGAGGGAGATGCTCGCAGTCAGAGATCAAGGCTGGAATACTTTTCTTGTCACACCCACCAACCTTTGCCCTGGGAAGATGACGTCGGTAATTTGTTGGATATCTCTGCCACATATCGTCACCATCCTCTGAGGCTCGAGGCTCCTCAAACTGCTGCCTATCAACCACAGGGGGCCAGGATTCACCCCGGGTTGTGTTGATCGCACAATAGGAGAGCAATGAATTGCTTCCTTTCCTTCAATAGGCATTTATAAAGTTATAGGACAATGCATGGAAACATCATGTTCTTCTTTTGATGGATGCTTTAATTCATACACCACTACAGTGTAGATATGGTCTTCGAGATTCAATTACATTTTATTTTGTTTTGGTTGTATATAGTTGTAATGTGGTACTCTTGATGTATCCTGAGCGATGATAGAGGATACAATGCAGCCGGCGCTTGGTTCAGTCGAGCTGATCCCGTTGCGCACTTGGCTGTTGGGAAGGAAAATGGCGGGAGTCACAGGCGAATGCAATCGGACCGCCTGAAGAATAACATTTCGTGAGAGCCGATACATGGCGATTCAATAAGGTTGAAAAGGAACTAACATAAAGAATAGCTAGATCTTTGTTTAATCTTTTCAATGTGATAAGAAATGTAGCTAACGGTTATTTGAATTGGTTGTATGGCCTTTTAAGCAGCGCTCAAATAATTATTATGTAGGCCTATGTCTTTTTTACTCCATGTATATGTTCTAACTTGATGTTATTGTTGTGGTTTATGTGTTTGCTGAGTACTGAGGCCTATTTCATTTCGTTGATGTTTTGAGCATTCCTTTATCTTATCCTAACACTTTTTCAGTTGGAATATTGTGAAGGATACATTGAAAAAGTCTTTACATTACGCGTCGTTGTAATTCAAGATGGATTGCTTGAAATTACGTTTGTGCCTAAGGTCTTGATCACACCGACAGTGTCGGTACGCAAAATAGTACGCAGCATAATATAGATATGTGTGCAACAAAAGTTCAACATTCACCTTCTGCTACCATTTCTGTCAAGCCGCCTACGCATACAGTTTGACGCATACGTTCGATAAATCCAACCTATGCACCACACTGAACGCACTGCAACTGCCTCTGCAACGCAATTCTGCAAGGCAAACACAGCGTTCCATTTGGTGTACCAAAATTCAATGACACTGTCAGTGTGATCGAGGCGTAAGACATTTTCTCCACCTTTTAGTCAGCTTGTATGTCAGGTCTATTGTGTGAGTGTATCAGATTCAAGGGGCAGATTCAAATGTCTGCCATGGGCCTACATCTACATTACGCAGGAGCCTCGTCTTGATGGTTACATAATGTATGATGCTATTGTTTTCCACAGTAGATTATTATATAAAAGTGTGTACCAGTGTCTCCCAAATGAGGTCGTGGTTGATAATAGGAGCAGTGTTTTGAAAGCTCAAGCCCGCGCTATTTAGTTCCTTATGAATGGGGCTCGTTATTGAGAATAATTCTGCAATGAGTTCTTAAGTGAAGGGAGTTAACGAACACTTATCCTCTGGCATAAACAAATGAAATGATGCTTGCAACCAGAAACAGATCACATCAAAAATGAAATAAGGCCAGCACTAATTTGGATAGAAATGGCAATTTAAGCTTTGTTTTGCAATGAGTTCTTGCCATAAGGATTTTCAATGTACGCTATATGTGATGAAAGCTGAAAGCTGTAGATTTACAGTGCATTCGGAAAGTATTCAGACCCCTTCACTTTTTCCACATTTTGTTACGTTACAGCCTTATTTTAAAATGGATTCAAATAATTTTTTCCCTCATCAATCTACACACAATACCCCGTAATGACAAAGCGAAAATTGGTTTTGAGTCATTTTTGCAATTGTATAAATAAAAAACAAAACAGAAATACCTTATTTACATAAGTATTCAGACCCTTTGTTATGAGACTCGAAATTGAGCTCAGGTGCATCCTGTTTCCATTGATCATCATTGAGATGTTATACAACTTGATTGGAGTCCACCTATGATAAATTCAATTGATTGGACATGATTTGGAACGGCACACAACTGTCCATATAAGGACCCACAGTTGACAGTGCATGTCAGAGCAAAAAAACAAGACATGAGGTCGAAGGAATTGTCTGTAGAGCTCCGAGACAGGATTGTGTCGAGGCACGGATCTGGGGAAGGCTACCAAAAAATGTCTGCAGCATTGAAGGTCCCAAAGAAAACAGTGGCCTCCATCATTCTTAAATGGAAGAAGTTTGGAACCACCAAGACTCTTCCTAAAGCTGGCCGCCCAGCCAAACTGAGGAATCAGCAGAGAAGGGCCTTGGTCAGGGAGGTGACCAAGAACCCGATAGTCGCTCTGACAGAGCTCCAGAGTTCCTCTGAAGAGATGGGAGAACCTTCCAGAAGGACAACCATCTCCTCAGCACTCCACCAATCAGGCCTAAATGGTAGAGTGGCCAGACGGAAGCCACTCCTCAGTAAAAGGCGCATGAAAGCCCACTTGGAGTTTGCCAAAAGGCACCTAAAGGACTCTCAGACCATGAGAAACAAGATTCTTTGGTCTGATGAAACCAAGAGTGAACTCTTTGGCCTGAATGCCAAGCATCACGTCAGGAGGAAACCATCACTTGGCCAATACCATCCCTACGGTGAAGCATGGTGGTGGCAGCATCATGCTGTGGGGATGTTTTACAGCGGCAGGGACTGGGAGACTAGTCAGGATCGAGGGAAAGATGAACGGAGCAAAGTACAGAGAGATCCTTAATGAAAACCAGCTTCAGAGCGCTCAGGACCTCAGACTGGGGCGAAGGTTCACCTTCCAACAGGACAACGACCCTAAGCACACAGCCAAGACAAAGCAAGAGTGGCTTTG